CTTTTTGGTTCTTTCATAAAACTAGAGGTAAAGAATTGCTTTGATCTTTGCAATGCAAATACTAATGTATAAGCTTAATTTAGACAGAAAATATTTTTTTCTGAAGTTGAGTAGAATAGCAGCTTKGCATCATTAGGAACTATGCTCTTAAATGTGTTACATGCTAGGAAGTGATAGGCAAGAGCTCAGTTTAATTGCTGTGTAGGAAAAATTGCATGTATTTTGCAATGGTAGAATTTTAGGTGTCTGAATCTCATATTAACTTAGGGTAACATATTGTACCTAGGTTATACTGKGGTTTTCTTTTTCAATATCTGAAAGAGTGAACATAAAAATTACACTGAATGATCACACTGGAACTGGGAAAACTTTCATATATTCCTAGCATATTTAGGCACTGCCACTACTCAGTTCCACACCCTGCTTCAGCTGTGTGTCACAGCTGCTTTCCACCTGAGGCAGGTTAGGTCATTTAACTGAGGCTGCCACCAATAAAGCTGAGCCAACTGCAGTAGTYACTGAGGGTTGTCATGGACTTCTTGAAAACTGGAGTGAAATTAGGAACTTTTCCATTATGCTCTGAAGCATTATATGCTACTGTCTCTTTTCGGTCTTCCTGACTTCCCACTTCACCTGTGTGCTAACTAAAACTCTGTTTTTTCTTCAGGTTGTGTAAAATACATTAATTACAACACAGCTGAAATCACTGCTCTATTAGCATGGTTCAGTGATTTAGTGTATCAAAGATATTAAAGCTCTGCCTTAACCCTGGCTCTTTCTTTTCCTTTTTGTCCTTGTTTAGCCAACATCCTGTGAAGATGGGTGATTGGAGTGCCTTGGGGAAACTTCTTGACAAGGTTCAAGCCTATTCTACAGCAGGAGGGAAAGTGTGGCTGTCTGTCCTCTTCATTTTCCGAATCCTGCTGCTGGGGACAGCAGTCGAATCTGCTTGGGGAGATGAACAGTCTGCATTCCGGTGTAACACTCAACAGCCTGGTTGYGAGAACGTCTGCTATGACAAGTCCTTCCCCATCTCCCACGTACGYTTTTGGGTTCTGCAGATCATATTTGTGTCTGTACCTACCCTTTTGTACCTGGCACACGTGTTCTACGTAATGAGGAAAGAAGAGAAGCTGAACAAAAGAGAAGAAGAGCTTAAGGTAGTGGCAAATGATGGTGTGAATGTGGATATGCATCTCAAGCAAATAGAAATTAAGAAATTCAAGTATGGGATTGAAGAGCATGGCAAAGTGAAGATGCGTGGGGGCCTGCTCCGTACTTATATCATCAGCATCCTGTTTAAATCTGTCTTCGAGGTGGCTTTCTTGCTGATTCAGTGGTACATTTATGGGTTTAGCCTGAACGCCATCTACACCTGTGAGCGAGACCCCTGCCCGCACAGAGTGGACTGTTTCCTCTCCCGTCCCACTGAGAAAACCATCTTCATCCTCTTCATGCTGGTGGTGTCCTTGGTGTCTCTTGCCTTGAACATCATTGAGCTTTTTTACGTCTTCTTCAAGGGCGTCAAGGATCGCGTGAAAGGGAAAACCGACCCCTACTCCCACAGCGGCGCCATGAGCCCTTCCAAGGACTGTGGCTCCCCCAAATATGCTTATTACAATGGCTGCTCGTCACCCACCGCCCCCTTGTCTCCCATGTCTCCCCCGGGGTACAAGCTCGTTACCGGAGACAGGAACAATTCCTCCTGTCGCAACTACAATAAGCAAGCCAGCGAGCAAAACTGGGCCAACTACAGCGCGGAGCAGAACAGAATGGGGCAGGCTGGCAGCACCATCTCCAACTCACATGCCCAGCCCTTCGACTTCTCCGATGAGCACCAGAACACGAAAAAGCTGGCTTCGGGACACGAGCTGCAGCCCCTGACCATTGTGGACCAGAGGCCTCCCAGCAGAGCCAGCAGCCGAGCCAGCAGCAGGCCTCGACCTGACGACCTGGAGATCTAAGCTTCTTGCTGCAGTACTTGCTCAACTATGAAACGGCGTGCGTTGGAAGATGCCGCCAGTGCTGATCTTGTTCCAGTGGAGGTGGTACTTAACAATCTCAAGCGGGAGATTTTAACATTCATTAAAATAAAAAAAAAAATAAGAGAAAAAGCAAAACAAACGAGCGAACAAACTTTTAAAATACTTGCTGGTTCTTTTGGGGGGTGTGGGGTTGGTGTGGGGTGGTACAGTACACATTGATATTTAATGTAGCTGGTTTAAAGAATTTAAATACTAAAAAAAAAGGAGAAAAGATAGGTAGTACTAAGGTAAAGGGCTGTTTTTCTAGAAAGGCTGTAAATATCTGAGTGTATGTGTATGTGTGTACTATCCTGTTTCTAAAGAATCTTCTGTAATACTAAAACCCAATAATAACTGAACTCACATTTGTCAGGGTGAAGTGCTACCTGAAGATGAAAACATTTTTCCTATTCAACATGCAAAAAAGTCCAGGATTGCCTCTGATCATTTCCCTGTCAAGAACATTCCATTCTTAGAAAGTGCACTTTGAAGGTAAACTTTCCTACACGGTCCTCCAGGTTGTTGGAAGGCTCCTGTGAGGACGATTTACACTCTTTGAGTCGTTCAATTCAAATTTCAGGCATGGCCCACCAAGAAATAYTTTGGTCACCTGCTCTTCCAGCCCTTCATGCAGGTGTATTTTGTGATGTGCGTAAATGGGATGGCTCCACGCACGTGGAACCGGCAACGACAGAGTCTTGCCCGCAGCAATACTTGTGTCCTGCTCCTCATGGAGGGTCTCTTTAGTATTATACGAAACACAGTTTGCTGCCACTTGCAGATTTAAGCATCAAGACAAACAAGCAACTGCCTTTAGTGAATTTTGTCACACCTTTATGTATACTAAGGGTGTACGTATGTGTGTGTGGATGTGGAGGGAAAGGTATACACAAAACACCCTCGGAAGCATAGGCTGAGAAATAAACGCACACAGGTTACTTGCAGTTGACACTTTCTCATGGATGTTGTGAAGATGTGGGCCACTATGGTGTTTACATTCTCTGGTTCCTTCAATGTAAGTGAAGCACATGTCGTTATATTTTTGTAATTCTATAAAATATTTTCCATGTATCCTAAATGGATGCTCTTTTAAAAATAAATAAATAAAAAAAAAATCTAAAGGGCCTAATCCTGGATGTCTTGCTCTGGAAAATCTCTCTTTAGAGTTGTTGGGAGTTTTGCCTCAACAAAGTCTGCAGGATCAAGCCCAAGATGTAGCGAACCATGTTCTTGCTGGCATGAATGATTTTCTTTTGTAGAAGTTAGGGGTGGAAAAGACCCATTAGGTCATCTRGCCAATTTCCCTGATAGGTAATAATGATGCTTGAATGATAGAAGATGTAGTACTGTAAGCAAGCTTTAGTCTTTTATGTGAGAAACTTAGAAGAAGTGCTTTGTGCTGGATTAATAATAAAATATGCCTACATGGCTTTTGCAGTAACTGGTATTTTTCTTGTTCTAAATATTCACATTTGCTGAACTGCAATGTCCACTGAGTTTGACAGTTAGGTCTTTCTAGATGGCTCTAGCAACTTTAGTGTTTACAGTTAGATTATGTTTGAAATGCAAGTGAAGTTGAAAGGATTTTTAAAGAGTACAATTCTAGCTAATTTATTTGAAATATATGCTAAAGAAATCTACCAGTTTCTTCAAATGCGTAGCCTCTTAGCTGAACACAGATTGACCAAGGAAAGACATAGCTTGGTTTCATTTTGCAGCATCACAGATAAATTGTTTCATTTAATACATTATATTAATTTGTTTGACATTCCATGTTAAACTACTGTTGTCTTCAACTTCATTGCATGTATGCAACCATAGTTTGTCGGATCATGTTGTCTGGAGAACATTAGTCAATAAAGTTTTAATTTAGTATAAATACATTTTCTAATTGTCTTTTACTGTTTCATATGTCCATATATATCTTTTGTTTTCAGTCTGATAGTCCAAACTCATTCCTTCCATGTTCATTTTTCCCCAGTCACTCTGCATTTCAGAAGCATCCTTTATTTAATCCATCTGGATTTACTTTGAACTGAATTCCACAGGGCCACATTCAGACACCCTCACAACACTGGAAAAACAAGCATTGTCTGYCACTCCTGGAACAATGTTCAGCATGAACAAATCTTGCCGTGAGTCTCAGAAAATACATATTTATTTGCAAAGGATTGTAAAAAATGATAGTACTAGAATACTGTCCCATAATTTTCCAAGCAATTTTTATAAATTACATAGATTCAATATTATGAAATCATTGCCTCTAGTTTGCATTTCCTCATGTAATTGGATTGCTTGAGAGATGGTCAGTTTCAGCTTCTGAAGTTAAAATATCATTCCTTCAAAGTCAATAGGAGAAAGATACCGATTTTTATAAGGCTGGGATTTTGCATACTGCCTCTCCTTCATCCTTTAGGACCCCATCACTAATTAAGTTATACAGTGCTTGCCTTTTCAGCATTGGACTCTAAATGCAAGGTGGTTCAACTCCTATTTTTATTTGAAAAATCAAAATAYAATGGTCATGTGATTATCATACAAGTTTCTACTTTCAAATTTGCATGTTATTTTAAGTCTCAATTTTTTCACTTAGTAAAGATGGGGGAAAAGCAGGGCAGTGGTAGTGGATTTACAGCTCTGAGAGATACTACTCAAGCACCAGCACAARGAATGACTCCTTGAAGTTTTCCTTAAATAATAACAATGAGTCATATTTAAGCTGGCTTGTCCTAGTTGGGCTGTACAAACGGAAGGGCATTCCAAGCATTTTGTAAGGATCATGCCCTTGGAAAGGTGGACACTGAAGCATTCAGAGAAGGGCTCACCCTGAGATAAAATGTAGTGTCTCTTAGACAGGCTGATTGCCAGGTATGTCCTATGAGGCATCTTGAAATAATTTAGTGCTTCAGTACCAAGGCTCTCTGAGTGATTTTTTTGGTGATAATGCATGTGTGTGCATGTGTAGGGTAAGGACATTCCAAAGACCATTTCTCCCACTGAGATTTATTTCCGTGGAGTGCATTTATTACACACTTCAAAGTCATCACAGTGACATAATTTTGTGTGCCATTTATGCAGATCTTTATGTGCTTTCTCCCAGTGCATTCCTGCAGCAGCATTTRCTTTGCCTGCAGATGACGAAAACAAGGTGTGATACCGTGCTAGCACACACTTCTCAGCCTTTGTAGAAGGATTTGTTAGATATTGATTTCAAACTGGAAAACATGCAAAAATACACATCTCTGAAGGCAATTACAACAAAAACATAAATCCCAAATTCACATCCTGTTAATTATTTTTAAATTGTGTTTATGTTTTGTGTAGCAGTATTTTGCAAAAAAGAYAAATCATCTTAAGGCCTCCACCCTGTCCCAGTAATGTGAACTTTTTTTACAGAGTAAAGTTAGAAGGAAAAGTTACAGACAGCCTAAAATCTATATGCATATCACATAATTTCACAATGTTTTAAATACAGTGAGCACATAYTGAGGGTTATTTCCTAATTTAGAAATTAAATTTCCATACTTAAAGTGGAAACTACAGTAACAGTTTGAGAAACAGAACAAATTATGTGAGTGAACCTGTTGCACCCGCAGAAATTCTTCATTTTTAAGCAATTTGTGTCACTGGTCCAGAACCACATCTCCCAGGYCTGCAGTATTTCTGCTACTCAGTGGTACCACACTGACTCAACTGTGAGCTACCATCATGATGCATTTCCCTCAAATTTTCTCTACAGCTTGTTATTGATTAAAACAGAGGAAGAAAAAAAAAAAAAAAGAGTGATGTAAGGAGTAGAGTTTTTCAGGTCAGATGTGGGAGTTTTGAAGTTACCTTGACTGCAGAGTTCTGGGTATGTCAGATAAAAACCTCCTCCAKTTTTGGTGGTGGCTGTTTCTATTCCACAGAGACAGAACTACTTTTAATTCTTCTTGTARTTCCTCCATGATTACCACTGTTCCCTTTTCAAGAATTTAAACAAAATAGGGCAGAAAATAGGATTTATCTTTCTCCTGTAGAACTTTTTCTTTCTATTTATTCCTAATCCAAACCTAGCAGGACTGAGCCGTCTAGTGRTCTTGACATACATTCTTTTATGCACTGTATTATTCAAATAGTCAGATTTACCATAATCTCCTTGAAGAGGTTTTGCCTTCTCATGTTGTTCACTCCAGCCATTTGCAGCTAGATCTGCCAGAGGACTCAGATGACAGAGGTGGGGGTGCACAGCCCTTGAGGATTTCTTTGGCAAAAATCCAATCCTTTGATGATACAGAGTAAAGTCAGAAGCAAGTCTGAGAAATCACTACCTAGATGTATYATCTGCCTCAGTTCTGTGAAACGATTTGAGGGTCCTCCATCTTATTYTAACTTACTCTAACATAATGGTTCCAACAACATGGGGCTGTAAAATCAGCTCTGCAAAGAGATGACTGCCTTTCCCTGACTTWAGTCATGTGCTTTTGACTGTGCCCAAGGACATATTCACACCCAGACTCTGTCAGTCCTGGAAAGTGTGTCAGATGTAAATTATATGATGCTAGCACATCACTAGATTGAAACAGGAAGAGCTTATTGGTTCCTGTTCCTATTTAAAAGGTATTTTGATAGACACAAATAGAAAAAAAAAAAAGAATGCTTGTCTTAAGCCTGTCTTAAATACATCCTAATCAAGAACCCAGTGAAGCAATACAGATGATGTGGATGTAAACATATTAAGCATTATCAATGGATACTATGAATATAAACAGTTTAAATAGATCCAGCTAGTCAGTAATTTGGTAAAACCAGCCTCCTCTGAAATGGCTGCCCTCACTCTTCCCTCCTGGTAGCCAAAATGCTGCATCCGGCTTACTGGCTTGCTGGCATTCGCAATGCAAAAGCACCTTGGACAAAGACAGACACGTTTTTACGGCGCTCATTTTGCATTAGCTTCTTTGAAGTGCTGGAGAAGCTGAGTGCTGGGAGCTGGAAGCAGGGAATTTGGGACAGTCTGTACTGGGTTAGTAATACACCATCAGGGGAGTCAGCCAGGGGAGTCACTGGTGAAAAAATAATGGCTTTATGGTGATTGTGGACTCTCCTGTCACTTAAAAGGTCTCTGCTGCTATGCTGTGGAAATTTGCATAACAAAATGAGACATGTGAGCTTAGACCAGTAAAAAGGGAAAATGTTCAGACATTTAAATTGCTCCTTGAAACAAGCCTAAACCACAGTTACATGCTTCCCATTGGAACTGACAGAAAACCCTCACATGAGTTCCAGGATTTCAGTCATTTAAATCAAWGCAGAAATTCTTTTCAACATCAAACATAAACAGATTGGACCCAKAAAGATATATTATGACATCTAATTTTCATTGATATAACTGCAGGGGGAAAGCTGATGAGTATAAGCTACTAAATCTTGGGTGGTGASTACTTAAATATGTGTAATCATACTATTTCCTCATGCTGTCTTTTTACCGTAACTTGGTCTAGAGGCAAATTTATGAAAAGTAGTCTAAAGGTTTGTGTTTTTTACCAAGAGACATGAATTCTGTAAATGTAATAAAATACATTTATGTGGTGTCCACGTCAAATTTATGCAGGATTATGTAATGGAGTGTGGAGTACTCTATAACTTGCATCTAACTCTGGGTTAGACAATTGAGGAGTGAAATCTTCACTTTGCCTCTCCTCATCCTTGTTAGAAAGTTTTTCATATCCCAAACATCTGAGTAGYTTTTCAGGGAGCTTTGCTTGGGGASAGGTCTTTGCATCCTCTTCCTTCTTTTTCCATCTATAAGTTCCATAGTTGAAAAAAGAAGCAACCCCAAATACATAAGGAAATGCAATCACAGTTGATAACAAAACATTACAATCAGAGAATAGGCAGCAGTTCTCTTTTGYACGTCTGCAACTAACTGAATTGGAGAGCAGCATGGAAAACAGTTCATGGCATTAGAAAATCCTCTGGATACTTTAGCATCTGAAAGCCAGCGGTCCTTGCTGAAACAGGCTTTTTCAGTCCCAGCTTCTGCTGAGTCACAGAGTTTGTTCCCTTTGAAGGCTGAAGAAGCTTGGCTCAAAATTGAAGTTGTTCTGGAGAAGTTCAGACCTTCCCTAATGACCATATTTGCATGCTATTCTCGGTAGTATTTACATATAATAGGACACCCTCCACAGGAAGGCCTCTTCAAAACACAGGCTCTGCTTACATTTTGTATTTCCTTATTGAAAGGGGAATATTCAAAATTATCTATGCATCACTACTTCAAAGTGTTTCRCTGGGAGTACTCTGCCATATATTTGGGAGACTCATCATAGTTGTTTGAAAGCTGAATATACAGCCAGCTGTAAGATTGCCACCTGGGTGCTACGTGTGGAGGCAAAGAAGTATTACTCAGGCAAGAATCCTACCTGGCCTGACCTGCCATACTTCTGTTGAGGACAAGGAGTTTCTATTGAGTGATGTGAGATGAAAACCCTTCTCTAAGCTTTACTGAGTTCCTTCTTTTATTCCAGTGTTTTGTTTTTTTGTTTTTTTTTTTTACCAGAGCACACAGGGGATCCAGCCATGACTCCATGAGACTGTGTAACATGCTGGAGTCTAGGAGAATCACTGAGGAATTTCTTCTGGCTTCATTTTGGTTATTCCAGCTCTGTAGTGCTCAATCTCTCAGTGGTAGGGTAAATGTTCCATCAGTTAGGGAAAAGGGTGTGTGAATACAGGAAGTCTGTCTGGATTGTTTCCCATAGGATTTCCTATAGAATTGAGGCAAACTAGTCAGTCATCCTTCCTTGTTCTGAAGGAAGACGTCAAGCTGCAGAAGTGTGAAGGGATTTCTGCATTCTGGCAGAGGCTTCAACTGTGTGCTATAGTATCCTCTTAATCTCTGCATATGGCTTATGCCACAGGTGTTTAATGTTTTGTACTAAAAAAGCTTTCAATATGATTATTTTTTCCTTGCGCCAGGTGCTGGGGACCACTCAAATACCTCAGAATAACCTCCTCATTAAATATCTATTAATTAACAAGCTGGTGTACCTCCGATTTCATTTATTTGGAAAGAATGCTAACTACTACAAGGTTTGGCTGACAGTTTAGGAAGTAATTTTGCATCTCACCTCATAGGAGTCCACATCTGCTTYGATCACTTTCTTTTTCATACTATTTATAATTAAGGAACACAGCAGAGGAACTCAGAATGCTAGCTACCTACCTTAATCRGATGCAGTGAAAGTGTGAGGCCATGGAGTCAGTCCAAATCTTCCTCCCACCTTAGACCCGAAGGGACTCAAATCTAGGCTCCCATTAATGGTTATGCATTCTATATAAATACCAATAACAACACCTGGATTGCCCTGATCCAGTGCTTTCCATCTTCAAAGTGTTTTGAGAGCCCTCTATAATTAGTTTGCTAAGGAGTCATCACCACTGATACTGCATGAACTCTGATGCTGCTCACTGTGGGAGCAAGAGAGGGAATCTGAACAGCCAGAGAGACTGTAGGCAACCTCCATATCACTACTGGATGAAATTGAAAATGCTGAACAAGGATATTTTAAAACTTCACACAGGAGGAGGATCCACAACTAGCAGGAAGCCAGTCTCCCYGTGATAAGGAAACAGGAATGTTTTCTTTCCTGGTAATCTACTACTTCAGATCTCTAAACACATTCTAAACACWTTTTACCTTGAACTGTGTCTCAGTCAAGCTGGCAGAAGATCACAGGTAGATGATTTCATTGCATGGAGTCTTCATGCAACTAGAATACATCCATTTCATTTTCTTTTTTTATTTGATAAATCCAGAGAAGGTGCAGACATAAACTATAACATTAAATAGGTTTTTATGAACTTTAATGAGACTCCATGGGAAAAATTTATCTGGAGTATGCCTTTGGAAATTGACAGTCCAGCTGAGTACATTTTTAAGATTATAGTATTTTCCAAGTATTTCCCGTGAGCTTGCAACAAGTCCTTGCCAATATCCAGGAGTTTGCTCTTTAAGTCAGCTTGGCATCTGCTAGAGATTATCATCTCAACATAAGTTTGTAAACAGCCTTTTCAAAACTACACCATTAAGAAAAGAGAAGAAGAAAAACCAGTAAGGGTCCATTCAAACTGAGAGTAAGAATGCAAAGGAACAGAACATTTTTGTGGAGTATCTCAATCTATAATTGTGAACATTACTAATTTTTATTTGCCTCATACTTGTACAGTGCCTAGCACATATTTTCACGGCACAAAGCCTAACATGCTTTATTTGCCCTTTCCAAGTAAATATTTCTTATGGAAGATTCCATAGGACAAGAGGGTACCATTTTACATCATTATATATATTAATGGTCATCTGAAGAACATTCAGACTATATTTCAAAAGTCGTGGTCAGGCAGAGTTACTGGACAGGCAGAAGCAACTCTGCTTCCCATGCAGTTAATGGACATGTGCACCCACATGTCTTGATTTTTGCTCCATTTTAAGATCACATTTTCTTTTTTTAAAAATTGGTATTCTTCCCTGTTATATTTAAATATCACACAAAACCATAAACACAACCATATGTCAGAATGAGGATTTTACTGATGAGTGATGGTTTGGATTCAGTCTCTTTGCTTTTATTTTTACCGCTTATTCTGTTAGTTTTAATTGAAATGGATTCTCTCTGTGTGTTATATTCAGCTTATTTTTAGCTATTCCTGGACTTCTTAAGGAAAAGTCAGCACATGGGTATGAGAGATACMTCCTAAAGCTTCCTTTTCTCTCTCCCTTGGTGCATCAGTACAGCTTCATCAGCACAGCCTCTATAACAACCACCTGTCTTCAAACAAGAAGTAATGTTTTGGAAAAGCAGCAAAGAAAAAGGGCTGGGGAGGAGCAGTGAGATGAAAGATTTGGGTAGTCCTTCCAGATTTCAAGCAATCACAGCTGTTTCRTTTCTGCAGCAAGAGAAGTTAGCCTTGCACACCAGTTATTTTTACAGTAGTGGAGCTGCAGGTCTCGGAGCGGGAGGAAGGAAARGGAGTGACAAGGTACAGCAACATGAGAGGTGGAGTAGGAAAAAAAAAGTTGACAGGATGTTTCAAAAGAAAAAGTTGCAGTAAGTGGATACTCTGTGATCTTCCCATATGCAACAATAAAGGAACTTTGAATTAGAGATTACAGTGTGGAAGACAGTTGGAGGTGAGAAACTTGGAGCTTAAGAGCTGTCAGGAATTCATGAAGTTTCTCTGGGCCTGACTGCCCTCTTTTGAAACAGATGATGAAGACATATAAACGTGGCAGCAGATAAACGTGGTCTCCTTCACAGTTCTGCCAGGCAGTATGCAGCCACAGAGGCACACTGTCCACTTCAAGGATATGAGGAAGAAACTCCTCCTCCTTTTTTTCCCCCACAGATTCAGATTTTTTCTTTTCAAAGCCATAGGTACAGCTATGCTTTCACGCTCTCATTCCCTGCTGAGCCCTTGTTTGGACCTACACTTTTTATAGTTATCTGACATTGCTTCCTCTTTTTTACCTCTGCTCAGTGGTCAGACATACTCTTGGTGTCTGAGCMCTGCACTATCCAGGGGCACATGCAGCCCTGGGACCTGGGGCAGTATTTCCACATCCTGCTGGCACCGTGGCTGATTCAGTGC